TTACCTGGAACAGTTTACTCCATTAGCAGGTTTTATCTTGTTTTATATGACCAAGAAAATTCTTTGAACTCCTAAGAGAAATAAATGAGTATGCTCCCTTCTCCAGTAAATAGCTTGGAGTTTGCACTGACAGAAATTCTGATTTATTCTTTTCAGCAAGGGAGAAATCCAGGGAAATGAGGACAGGCAAGAAGCCTTCCCTGAGTTTGGAAACACAAGCAGCAGAGCTTGCAAAGAAACAAAGCTAATGTCTGCTTCTCCTCTACAATTATTATTGAGGATTTACATATTCCAGAAAAGAATCATCATCTTTACAAAAAAGTAACTGAATTGGTAAACTGGGACAGGATGAAACTTGTCAACCAAAAAGTAAATACCTGCTGTCGACCTCTAGTGAATTGTACAGAGACGCCATTTACCCTGGAGTATCTGTGAGACATATAAATGCTTCATTTTAATAGGATTGCAAAAGATGTATTTGATGGACAGGGTGAGTAAATCTTAAGTCAAGGATTGTGAAAAAAACCAGACAGTTTGTTTGAGATACTTGTATTTGTCTTCCAGAAGGCAAGACTCTACTATCATTTGTGCCACTGAACCTTATTCAAAAGAAACTCGGTAAAGGTAAATGAGCATTTTTCTTGGGTAGCACTTCCAAGGTTTTACACTGGATACCCCAAACTAACTGTCTTTTTATTATCCCTGAAGAGTAAAGATTAACAGACCTACAAAAAGGTTCTGATGCTTCTGATAAGAATTAAATTGATTACAGTAATTCTTTTAGTGTATCTACCGTTCCAAGCATATGCTTGTGTGTTAAATTTTATTAGGGATTCAGATCAAAATGGATGTAACTGTAAGAATTTATATGGTGATCATTATGGCACAGATATTAAGTTAGACTTATGCATGCCCTGGTGCTCTGATGAATACAGTGAGTTATACATTTTAGCATTATTAGATATAAATTATATTAAGCATGCTCACTCTATTAAATAGTCAATGTTTAATGGGTGCAATCTGAAGTGGTAAGTAGCATTGTAGTTATTTGGATTTACATTTCAATTTGCCAGTGAATGCTCAAATTTACTTAACCTAAAAGAAAACTGGGAATGCATTTGAGGCTAGAACCAGTGTTCTCACCTTGACTTAGTTATACATAAACAGAGCAGGCCCATTACCATTCAAGAGGAAGGAAACTTTTAAATCACGTTAGAATGCTGTGGATTGACTATTTGTGCTGAATGTTTTAATATAATGCTAGAATGTTGTGTATTGAATGTTGTAATCATTAAAGAAACAGACTAATTTGGTTGGGTTTGCACTTCTAATGTGCCAAGATTATGAAAATGAGTAAAGAAGTGATGAAAAACCAGCCATTCCAGCCCTCAGAGGGATGGAAAGAAACTTAAGGAAACCAAACCCATCTGGGTGATAAATTCACCAGCTGAAGAGGGGCCTGCCTCGAAAAGCTGCGCTGCTGGAAGGGGGCACTTGGACTGATGTAGACCAGAGGAGCCCCAGGAGGCACAAGGCCTGGCTTATGGCTGGCGATGGTGGCTGCAGGTAGCCCCTGCCTGCCTTGCCACAGCTCCACTGCGGGCCCAGGGATTTTCTTCACCCTTCTCTTTTTCTTCACTTCGGGAAGCGGCTGCCAGGCCACAGCTAAAGAGAGATGCCTCATTTTACAACAGAAAGACGACGGCTATGTGTGGAAAGCACAGCTGGAACCCGCGCTGCTGAGGGACGAGCGGGCGGGCAGGATGGCGGGTGGCCGCCGGGCTCGGGGCACCAGCCTGCCGGGGGGCCCCGCCGGGGGGG